ACGCAGCTTAGGGGAAACTTAGGCTGCAGTTCTATACAGACAATTTCCTTCAGTATTCTGCTTTATTTTAATTCCTACCTTGTGAACCCAAGATATGAAAAATCTTGTAATGTTTTAAAATAATTTGTCTACTCTATTAAAGATTAATTGCCTCTTTCTGCTTCAGTTTTATTTTCAGAGAAAACAGAAGCATGCAGCCAATAAATATTCTGTAAGGCTGGTCACTTTTCCCAGAACTTTTTATGGAGGAGGGACTTGCCATTTATGAAATTGGTGAACTTTATTATTGATCTCAGCAGAGCAACTTGATTTTTTTGGAGAACATTATAAAATTATTTACGTTCCTGAAATGTGGAATGTATTTTATAATTCTAGAAAAATAAAAAGGTAAAAGCACAAGTATATACAGAAGAATGCTGTGTGAGAAAAATAGATATGCTAATGATTCCAGCATGATGAAGAGTTAACACACTCGCCTTCAAATGTGTGTGGGCAATCAGTTAACATAAGTAGTTTGTGATAAAATTAGCAGTAAAAACAGGTGGCCTGTTGGGTAGTAGTAAAACCCGATGGTCGTGTTTGACCAGCTACTCTCTAATTATATTTCCCTATACTTGTAATTTTCCTTTTGCAAGTTGAGTAATTTTATCCATTACTAAACTGTTAAGTAGTTAAGGAAACAGCTCATTTTAATCTTATTGTTAACAGTAAGATACGTAATCTTTTGTGCACTGGAAGCAATGCTCTAAAATTTCATAAGGACTTTTCTATCTGAAAAATCTGGCCACAAATAAGTTGTGAAGGTCAGAATCCAAGAAGACTCCAGCTCTCCTATGTGCACTGTTTTCTGTCGTAAAGTCCATAGTCAGAGGCTGGAATCTGGATCAGTTTGTAGTACTTGACTAATTAATGTGAATGAAAAATCAAACCCTAAAATGATATGGTTCTATTTTTTATTTGTTTTGAAATTTCATTTTTTAAGACTGATTGCATACCTTGTAATGCATTATAGTCATCTATCAGGCTACTGCTAGATGGCACTAGTGTGTAAAGCAGTGCTGTGTCTGGGTATTTGTGTATGTGAGATTGTATTTTCTAATAATCAGACATTTTCTAAATTTTAAAAATACCCCAAGCTTCTTATGGTAAAAACTGAAGGAGTGTCTTCAGGCTAATGAACAGTTTCAAGAAATGCTGGGCATGTAGAGGAGTGTGTTTGGAAATGTATTCTGACAGTTCTGTTGGAGCAAAACATCTTTAACTTTTGTCACATTTAAAACATTAACAAACTTAAACTCCTACAGTAGGAGCCCTCTTTTAAAGGATTGCCTCAACAGCCTTTTTATTTCTAATAAACACCCAATTTAAAGTCTCAGGCCTGACTCTTAAAATACTGTTTCCCCCCTCCCTGAGATATAGCCAATTTATGTGTGTGTGGGGTGGTTGTTGTTTTGTTGTTGTTGTTTTTTTAATTTCAAATGCAGTTAATAGTGGTGGGATACAAAGCTTTGAAATGATTTTTTTCATTCATTCTAGGAGTACTTTTGTCAAAATTATATACCTCTTCTGTGATGGAGATGCCCCCCTTTCCCATTTCAATTCAAGAATATTCTTTAATGCTTTATCTTTTGACTACTTAATTTCAGGGAAGTGCAGGTCTTCAAAAATGAAAACAGGATTTTTATTTTCACACTTAAAAAGAATCTCAAGATAGTGAAGCCAATGAAACTCTGAAAGAGATGCACCACAGATGTTTCACAGAGAACAGTTCAGATTCTAGTTCATTACAATAATTAGTTATCTATTGTATATAGCATAGACAGCTGAATTACCACTTAACATTCCTTAATAACAGTGCTTAACTTTGGATAGTAAAGATAAATTTTGAATAGCTAGAAATGTATCCTGACAAAACAATAAATGAGCCCTGAGTCAAAGCAGATAGTTAAATGTGTGTGGATATGTAATATAGTATAATACAAGTGTTTGCTTGAATTACATTACAGAGAGTTTAAATTTTAGCAGACCTGTGTATCTGTGGAGAGAAGATATGCAACAATAAATATTTCTAAGCAAACTGAGCTGTAAAAAGTAATCAAACACAAGTTTGATGGATCCCTATTGATTTTTAGATTGGAACAAAGTTCAAAGCCATATAGTCTAGTGCAGTCTGGTCTCCAATCTTTTTACGCACAAGATCACTTTTTGAACTTAAGATCAACCCAGGATCTACCTGGCCCCTTCCCCGAGGCTCACTCTATTCCCCCCTCTTTCCATTGCTTGCTCTCCCCCACTCTCACTCACTTTCACTAGGCTGGGGCAAGGGGTTGGGGTGCGGAAGGAGGTGCAGGCTCTGCGCTAGGGCCGAGGGGTTCGGAGTGTGGGAGGGGGCTCTGGGCTGAGCCTGGGGCAGGGGGTTGGGGTGCAGGAGTGAGGGGTGCAAGCTCTGGGAAGGAGTTTAGGTACAGTGTGACCATATGACCCCTGCACCCAATCTCATAGAATCCACTGGACATTTCATGAGTTTTACTTTTTATTAGTGTCATTTGTGGTTTATAGATCCAAAATCCTTTCAGGATCGTTGCAAGTCAGTGTAGCATTCTCAACTGTGGGGTGTGCATGGCTGAGCCTGGGGGAGGGGGTTGGGGTGCAGGAGTGAGGGGTGCAAGCCCTGGGAGGGAGTTTGGGTGCAGGAGGGGGCTCCAGGCTTGTGCAGAGTGTTGGGGTGCAGGAGAGGATGAGAGCTGTAGGCTCTGAAAGGGAGTTTGGGTGCAGGAGCGGGCTCTGGGCTGATGCAGGGGATTGGGATGCGGGAGGAGGTGAGGGCTCTGGGAGGGAGTTTGCATGCAGGAGGGGGCTCTGGGCTGGGCCAGTGGGGTTGTGGTGTGGGACAGGATGCGGGGTATGGGTGGGAGTTCTGGCATGAGTCCTTCAGATGTGTTTAAAGGTAGGGTTACCATATTTAAACATTAAAAAAAGAGGACCCTCCACGGGGCTCTGACCCTACCCCTTCCCCGCCCCAACTCCCCCCTCCCCTGAGCGCCCTGCATTCCCCCTCCTCCCTCCCAACCACGCAAAACAGCTGCCTGAGCACTACCGGCTTCACAGTTTGCCGGGCGCAGCCTCCAGACCCTGCGCACCCGACCAGGCGCTTCCCCAACGCAGCCGGAGCCCGGGAGGGGAAGCGCCCGGCCGGGGGCGCAGGGTCTGGAGGTCTGGGGGCTGCCCGGCAAACCGTGAAGCCTGTAGCGCTCGGGCAGCTCGGCTCTTCAGCTACCCAAAGCTGAGGTGTCTGGGGGGAGCAGCAGCAGCAGCCGCCGTCGCCGCGGGGGAATCCGCCTGCAGCTCGCAGCCTGCTGGAGCTGCTCTAAGGTAAGCAGGGGACTGGGGCAGGGATGCCGGCAAAACAAAGCTGGGAGTATTTTCCCGGACATGTTCGGGTTTTTGGCAGTTCCTCCCAGACGGGGATTTGAGGACCAAAAAGCCGGACATGTCTGGGAAAATCCGGACGAATGGTAACCCTATTAAAGGGGAGGGCTGGGATTCTTCTGAAAGTTGTCATTTCCAGACACATGCAGGGAACCTTAAATAGCCACAGGGGTAGGGTTGTAGTGCACTGATGACTAGCAGAGATCAGAGTACAAAGTTAAACACTGAATCAGCAGATTCAAGGTGGGTTTTCTCAATGGCAGGAGCTTACTGGAGGTTTTAGCAGCATTATATAAATGCCTCCTTGCATGATGCTGAAGTTACTACTATTACTATTCTTAGTATTACTAATAATATTCTTGACTGATCAAAAGTGCCCTCATCGTACAGGTGACTTAGACCCAGGACTACAATGCACTATAAGGAACGTAATTTTAAATTGTCTAAAAAGTTATTTATTCACTGCATATTTAAGCTAGTTTGGAGGACTTCAGCTTTTTGAGAAGACAACAAAAGTTTCATTTCCATATGAGCTGCAAGCTTTGTGGGTTAAACTGGCAGGGTGGATGCAGTCTCCAGGATTAGATGAAAGCTGTGTACTTACTGATTATTTATTTATTTATTTATTTTGCCTATTTCTCTGCCTTTTTTCTTACAAAATATAATGTTTATACTCAATGTTAAATTCTAATGATAAATATTGGAAATTTCGTAACATGAAAATAAGATGCAAACATAAGAATATGAATGGATAAATAGAATGAACAACAGGATTCTAAAAATCTTCAGCTGGGGTTTGGGTGCAGACGGGGATGCAAGGTGCAGGCTCCAGCTGGGAGGCGTTTACCACAGACGGCTCCCGATCAGCGGCGCAGAGGGCTCAGGCAGGCTGCCGTGGCCCCATGCCGCTCCCAGAAGCAGCTGGCTGCTGGCACATCTCTGCCTGCGGCCCCTGGGGAGAGCGGGTATCTCTGCGCTGCCTGTGCCTGCAAGCGTTGCCCCCATTGCTTACGTTGCCTGGGAACCAATCAATGGGAGCTACATGGGTGGGCCACAGAGATGTCAGCAGCCAGCCACTTCTGGGAGCAGCATGGGGCCACAGCAGGCAGGGAGCCTGCCTGAGCCCCCTGCACCACCGGACTTCTAGCCCCAGAGATCACAATCGACTGGCCAAGGCTCCAGGATCGACCAGTCGATTGCAATCAATGAGTTGGTGACCACTGGTCTAGTGAATAGAGCACTGTACTGGGAATCAGCAAACCTGGATTCTATTCTTATCTTTATCACTAACCTCCTATGTGACCCTGAGCAAGTCATTTCACTTCCCTATACCTCTGTTATAGGAGTTCAGAGTAGATAATTACAATGGCCCTTTCCTGACTTTGTTTGAAATGATTAAAAACAGCAATATTCTTGACTTGCCACTTGTAATATACATTTAGAGCTTTGTGAACTTGACGGTTCCAAACATTAGTGTGCCTATAGTATTAATTTATTTATAGTTTCAATCCAGCCCTTTAAAACAGTAAGTGAAAGTTTAGATGTTGTTTTTGTTGGTTCGTTTCTCTTAGAACATGGACGCTGTGTGGCACACCAGAATACCTTGCACCAGAAGTGATACAGAGTAAAGGTCATGGAAGAGCCGTGGACTGGTGGGCTCTAGGAATTTTGATATTTGAGATGCTGTCGGGGTAAGTGTTTCTCTGGTGATACTAAGTACATAACATTCACTCTATTTCAGTATTCCGAATAACAAGTTTGAAATATTTTGGGTATATGTTAAGTCTATTACTAATTAGATTATCTTATCTTACTGTGAAGAAAAGAATTAAGAGCCTATGAGAGAGACTGCAAGGATGTACCCAATTAAGAATGCAAAATAATTTAGCCATACAACTCCCAGTAACCTGACTGGAGATTCTGAAGCAAAATCCCAGTTTACAGTTGAAAATATTCTGCTCAAAATTCTGCAATTCTATATTCTCCCATCATGGAGTTCAGTTTGAACCTCCATAAAGTATTTATTTAATAATCAATTATACTTTTCTCAAAGGTTGAGTGAACTGCAAACTAGCACTGTAACTTGTCTGTTTGGCAATTCTTTGAAGAGAAGTGAGCAAGCTTCATAAAGGGTAACTCACCTGATTTACAGTTCAAGAATTAAGAAAAAATATTTATATATTTAAACACATTTCTCTTTTTCCTTAAAAAAAAAAAAAAAAAAAAAGCGGTATGATCAAACTTCATTATTTTCTATCCTCTCACTCTAACTTATATTTCAGTTGGAGGCTTAGGTTTTTTTTTACAGAAGTTTAGATTTTGTGCATGGACTGTTCTTGTGCAGAGAGAGGCTACTAGTTTGCTCTAAAGAGCCTGGTATAACTTTAAGGCTGAGACTTTAACAACTATATCAAAAACCTCTCCTATCTTATGGAAGTTGGAACATGGCAATTGGAAAACAGATTCTGCATTATTTCATTTTGTGCACTCTGTTATGATGCTTTATTTCTTTGGATAAAAAGTTTATTACTAGTACAGTAAATTCCAAAAAGGTGCAGGAGGAGGAGGAGAGGGGTAAAAAAGCAAAAGCTATCTAGGGATTCTTTCTTGAGTTCATATGCTTATAAACTTTATTTCCAGCAATATTTTGGGATTCACTAGATGGCAGTGTTCTCAGAAAACAAACTTAAAATCTTTGCCACTAAAGAAAGATTTCTTGACATTACAAAATGTTTTTAAAAACTATACCTTTCTTTGCATGTGCACTGCATGTCTGCTGAAAGTGTACTGGAATAAAAAAAGAGGACTGATGGAATTTTATCACTAATGCTGCCATACAGCAGTATACAAGGGTATCTCTTTGGGCCGCACATGTGTCTTGTGCCTCTTTGTGCTCCTGTACAAGGGTATGAAGAGTAGAATGGCTATAACCCTCCCTCATTTCCCATTTACTGCCTGTGGCAGCAAGACAGAACCCACCGAGTATCTGACCTACCACTCGCTTCCGAGGCTTTAAACAGGTTGTTTTTCAACTTTTTAGGAGACAGAATCTTATCTTATACTTCCATTCCAAAGATGTCCTCCTCCAGCCCTCCCCCCCCCCATGAAAAAAATTGAAGAAAATCCAAACTAAGACATTGGTCTAGGACCCTCCTATATACAACCTGGTATAGTAGGGCAAGGCACGTCACACCAACTGCCGTGTCTTCATGGTGGAATCTAAAACGTCAGGATTCAAACCCTGCCTATCCTTCAAGAACAGACGTAGGTGATACCTCTTCTGCCTAATGTCAAGTATTGGTTATTTAACAAGTTAGATGTGTCGATCTGTAGTCATGTCATCAGAATGTTGCCAAATGAAAATTTTCTTTTAATGAAGGGATATTGGCATGAATTATGGGTTGTTTTTATAGTATAGCTCTACATGATTCTGGGGCTTACCTAAATAGACAGGGCAGTAAGTTATCTACCGTTCTTTTTTCCTACAGCTGTCAGCACTTGGATTTGTTATCTTTTTTTTTTTATGGGGAGGAGGGGCAGATGCTTCTATTGTACCTTTTTAGTGACAAAATCCATATTTAATCCTCTGAGATTGATTTCAGTGCCATCCCATGGATCAGTCAACGTAGAGAGTGGTTTACAACTGTCTTTCTACAAAAATTTTCAGCACCACAACACGCCTATGATTAAGGCTAATATTTTGTCATGGATATTTTTAGTAAGTCAGGGACAGCTTCTTTGAGTTTTTCTTTATTGCCCATGACCTGTCCATGACTTTTACTAAAAATATCCATGATGAAATGGTGATTTAAAGTGGACTTGGAATTTTCATCTGAAATCAGTGTGATTTGTAGTCGTTTTAATACCTTCTGGGACTTAACTTCAGATTTGTGAAGCGGTTATGCAGAAAGTTCTGACTCCTGCACATAGTGGAACACAGAAGCCATGAGAAGTCATAATGAAGCAGGGTCAGGCAGTCCCCAGGAAATTTGACCTACCCCTTATGTGACTTTGAAGTTTAAGACTGAAACACTGAATTTGACATGGTATTCCATAGGGAGGCAGTGAGGAGAGTACTCCAGGGGATGTACTTTTGTCAGCCTTCGTTCCTAAGCAGACAGTACTACTGTGTTCTAAGTCAACTGTCGCTTTTTTTTTTTTTTTTTAAAAGATTGGCAGCTTCATTAATAGTTAGAGAATTATTACAGTGGTCAAGCCTGGAGATCACAAAGATGTGAATCACCATAACAAAGTCTGAACATGACAGAAGGGACACAGCCTGCTTGTCAGCTGTAGATGGAAAAGGGTGCCTACCATGTCTGTGGCTGTTGGGGGTATCCAGAAGCAATGAGAACTCCAGGTGAACAGTGATCTGCAGTGGGTTCAAATTCTAGCCAGGCCTACACTGTGAAGGGACATGGTCAACATTAATTAAAAAAAAAAATCTGGATTTTTTTTTTATCTATTATTGTGACAGGTCACAGGTAGATTACAGTAGCTGAAAAGAATAGAGATTTTTTTTCATTTTATACATTTGATACCTCATCAATTTCACTGATTTTTCTTATGTTTGTATGAGTCTTTAACACAGCAACAGGGGAGAGAAACTTAAAAATGAAGGGTGGAGATGTTTGTAAAATTACAAATTTGATGGACACTCAGGGGCAGGTGGGATTTCTGCATCTTTTTTTTTAATGACTAATTTCAAGTTGGTGTGGTATCCCATTTAACTTTGCTGTCTGTGCTCCTTTAAACTTATTAGGGACATTCATCAGATAACTATAATGTTGCCTTTTTTGTTTTGCAGTTCTTTTTTTAAAGGCTAACAAGCTTTTCAAGGAAAACATGCTAACCTTCTTAAAAGTTGCTGAATGTCCTATCATATGTTGCTTAGTCTTTCTTTTGTTTTCTTTTACTAGTTCCACTTGGGTGCTATCAGATTTTCCTTTCATGCAGAATATGGTTGCATGTAATAGTCCCCATGTCAATAGCCCTGAGATGTCAGTATTCTCAAGAATAGATGAAGAACTCCGCCTCTGGGAATATATTTGATATGTAGGAGTTGAATAAAAGTGGATATATATAGTCACAAACAAAATCCCTGCTCCACTGCTAGTCATAGGGATTATTCACGTCAGTAGGGGAAAGTCTGATTAGAGTAGTATCCTATAAAATGAACACAATATAGTGGAGTGCTTTCTAACCATAACTGAACATTTAGCATTTTATAAATAGGACCAGTCTTCCAAGATGCTGCCATTTTGGTTTTTCTCTGAGATTAATGTTAAAGGTCAAAGCTGTGTTAAGCAATTAAGTCTTTGGAAGAGAAAACAAATGTATACTCCAACAATAGTGTACTGCTTATAAAATGTGTCTGCAATTGTCAACAGTAGAGAATTATTGAAGCACAAACTTGCATTCCAATATCATTATCATTTTACTGAATGGAATCCAGATGTCAGCATTGCTTTCTGCTCCAGAAGCTCTCTAAGCAACTGATAGAGTACATATCTGTCCTAGGTAGCAGTTACAATTAGATTTGAATGGAATACTTTTGCAGAAAGAAATTGCATTTTTAATTTGGGGCAGTGTAATAACTTGTACTGATGGTTAGACTCATTCATTCCCTATCACATTTCTCAATGTCTCACCTGGGCTTTTCCATGGGAGAGAATCCAATCATTTAAAAAAAATGTTTTTGAGAGAAATAAGATGGAAGGAACTTCCATCAAAAAAATCTTCTTGCATAAAATTCATTTTTTGTAATGCATGCACCAAGTCAAAAATAGGATTATGAATCTTAATCATAAATACAACATTGAAAGTTTAGAGATTAGTATCATTTGGATGAATAAAAATATTACACAGATGCAACACAATTCTATACGCTGTCCTAAATAAGAAACGGCATCCATTCAATCTCTCTGCTATATAAGGGGGAATAAACTGAGCACATCCAAAATTTGATACCCTCTCTTGCTACCTTGTTCTTTCTTGTAGTTGTCTGAGATAGGAATTTAGGCCCAGATTTTTAAAGATATTTAGGCACATTTTTAAAAGACAGTTTGGCACTTTGAAGCCTAAATCCCACTGACATCTGGACACTGAAGTACTTAAATTACTTTTGAAAATGAGACTTAGGTTCCTAAATCAATGAGTATAGCTGAGCCTAAATACCTTTACAAATCTGGGCCTTAGACTTCAGAAAAACTTGTGATTGTATGTTCTGAAGTTTCCTGGACAACTAGCTCCACTATTTCATGGTGAGATCATCCAAACAAGGTGTATTGTTACTTTTCCTTTTATGGGGAAAAAAAAAGTTCCACCCTCTTGTCTGTTCTTACCAAAAATATTTTAGTTATTTTCTTTGGTGAAGGTATGGCCGTTTTTTTTTCTTGGACACTCAAACAGCATCTAGGGAAACTCTGAACTTGGTTGTTGCCTGTGACTGTGGTTTGGTAACTACAGTGTATGAGGAATGTTAATCCAGTTACTGTACTTGTTACATGAAGTTACAATCTGGTATATTGAAACAATTGTCCAGTTAGTATCTACCTGACATACAGTAATTATGGAACAAGAGACTAAATTAAAAAAAAAACAAAAACACAAGGCTTCAGAAAAAAAAGTCATGTAGGAGGAAAATGTTTATTGTTCTGGCACTAAGGTCTTGTCTAGACTACCAGTGTTTGCAAAGTATTAGCACCTAATGTACACATTTAAAAAAAGGAGCTAAGCGTGTTAACACAATAGGGATGAAACTAAGGCTATGTCTTCACTACCCGCCGATCCGGCGGGTAGCAATCGGTCTATCGGGGATCGACTTACCGCGTCTAGTGAAGACGCGATAAAATCGATCCCTGATGGCTCTACCGTCGACTCCAGAAATCCACCGCGGCAAGAGGTGGTAGCGGAGTCGACGGCGGCGCGGCAGCGGTCGACTTGCCACCGTCCTCACAGCCAGGTAAGTCGACCTAAAATACGCCACTTCAGCTACGCTATTCACGTAGCTGAAGTTGCGTATCTTAGGTCGACCCCCCGCTGTAGTGTAGACCTAGCCTAACTTTTAAAGGTGTTAGAACCTAATGTAGATAGGATTTAACATGGTTTTATTCAGCACTTCTTTAAAACATTTTAGCTAATACATTAAAAACACCAGCCTTCTTCCTAGTCTACACAAGGCATTATGCTACTAAAGACTCGATGAAAAGTAAAAAACAGTGGTGGTGTTTTTCCCCCCTACAGCCTTGACACCAGTGAAGATGAGGAGCTGCAACCCTTTTCAATTTTAGAAGCATAAGGATTGCTAACAGTGACACCACATTCCATGTATGGGTGGTGGCTGTAAGAGCAGTAGTTACACAGTAGCTTCTTTTGATTAAAAAAAGATTCCCCTGGGTAACTTTTAGGAAGGTGGATGTCCAGAATTCCAGGAAATGTATGGAGTCCAGAATTCAATTTATTAAACCTACTGAAGTGATATATTTCCACAGTGATACATGTATCCTTTCTGGTGAGCAAATAGGTCAGCCTATAGAAAGAGAAGCCCAAGAGAGGATACAAATTCTTAGTTGTTGCAAGAGGTGCAGCAAAAAAAAAAAAAAAAGAGAGAGAGGCAACTGGCTCCTTATTTTTATATTGTCTTTTAAAGGTAAGGAACTATACAGTTTCTTAATTCTGGAATTGGCAGCCAAGGTGAAGGGAAAGTCAGTAGTGTTCAGACTAGAAGGGAAGAACTGGTTTTGGTGAGTGCTCTCAAATTTCACCAATAGGGAAGAAGCCAAAGCACAGACTTTCTAAGGGAAATCTTCCCTCACTATATGTGATTGACCTTTCTGTTGTAATATTAAAAATAGTTCTCAGTATTTAAATTTTCATATATTCTGAATATTTTCTGTACATTCTATGTTTTGCAGAATAGCTATCTTAATGGGTTACAGAGGTGTGGTTAACCCTGACTTCAATACGCAATGCCTCGGTGCATACAGAATAACTATGTACCTAACAATCTGGTCAGCAGATAAATTACTTTAACATAATACCATTATACATTTTTGCAGATAACTAAAGAAAGCTGTGTTTTGGTTGTTTAATTCAAATAGGTTTCCTCCATTTTTTGATGACAACCCATTTGGTATATATCAGAAGATTCTTGCTGGCAAAATAGATTTCCCCAGACATTTGGATTTGTATGTGAAGTAAGTATACTGGCTTTCATCACTGAAATGTTTATTTTTAATGATCTCTTTAGCATAGTTTGAAAGGATCTGCGTAGGAGGATACCTTCTTGCCGTATTTTAAAACGCTTGGTTGCAAAATATTTTGGACTAAATTTAGTCCTGAAATCAAAGTGAAAACATATTTAATATAATTTAAATGTGTCTCTCTCCCATCTCCTGTGAATGCCTCTTCAAGCACAAGGCTTCTCACGAGACCATTATTAAAGCTGTATCAGCAGATTTCCTGAGCATGCATCAGCTTATTCTATGTGCTTATGCTGACTGACCCTAGTATCCCGCACTTGTACAGTGGCTGCCCTCGAAATGCTGCTGCTGCTGCTACCAGTTTCCTGCCGTTTCTTCTTCTCGCCCATTGTGTTTTAATACAATCCTTCTCAACAAAGAGTACACATCTCCACATGTGCTGTCTGCAGTAATTTCTGGCTACGTGGCCAGAAGGTGAACAGTACGAAGTTGGTTTCTTTGTCATTGATAACTAGGCCATCGTGATGAAAAGCAATTAAACATAGGGTACTGTCAGCATCTGTTTGTATTTCTCAATCACACTGACTCGTAATCACTGACTTGTATCAGCCGGTAAATTCTGATGCCATGAAAGACATTCTAGTCACCGCACTCACCAAGTGTATCCAAGTTCCATTGTAAGTTGAGAAAGATGGTCACTAATGAGCAGTTAGGCTACTTTAGGTATCATACCCTTTGAATACTCTCTTTTCCTGGTTCTCCTCCTACTTCTTTAGGTATTTTGGTAGTGTCTTTCTTGATGGGTAATCTTCCTCCCCACCTTCGGGGGAGAGGGGGTCGCACATGGCTCTGTTCTTCACCCCTCAGTTCTTTCCTTTTACATCTTTTTGGATGAGCTCATCTAGTGTTTCTTTATACTGTTGACTCACCAATCTATCACTTCACTCCTAACCTGTTTCCCACTATCCAATTCTGTATTTCATCCTACCTCTTTGACATCTCTTCCTTGACTTCTCACCATCAACTTAAACAGAACTCCCTATTTTTTTTACTATGAACTCAACCCCTATTCTTTCATTTTTGACACATCCCTTCCTCTCCCTCCCCCCCCCATCCAGGTTGTGCCCAAATAATTCTTTCTCCACAACATTTCCATAATGTCTAGCCATTAAAGACTCTTGACAAGGCTTTGATCTGTCACCTTTGATACTGCAGCCTCTTTTTATCTTTCCCACTTGATGCCCATACCATTCCCTATAATCCTTAGAGAAAACAGCTGCTTTTGTAGACTGTTGAACTGACTATGCCACACCACTTTCTCCTCTTCCACTGTTTCAAGTTCAAGTTTCTTGTTACTGCCAGTAAGGCCCTGCATAACTCTCTGCCTTTTCTACTTCTAACCTAGTCTTTTTTCCACATCACTCTTCACTCTGCCTCTGATGTCATCCTTGTTGCCAGTTTATCTGACTTTCCTGCAACAGTCTGTGCTTTATTCCTTCCCATCCCCTACATGTGAAATGCCTTTCCTGAACTTTCATGCCCTGACCCATTATCCTTTTCTAGTTCAAATCTGTATTCAAGAACCACTTCTGACACAAATTACAAGAATTTAGCCATCTAATAATCCCTTGGTTTGAAGGTATTTGTCTGTAGCTGTCCCCTGCCCACCCTGTTCCCCATTGAAAAATAGAACTACTAATAGGTGTGTCAGCCACCTCCCTGACCACTCTGTTTTGAAAAGTGTGTGGTGTGTGGTTTTGGGTAAACTCTTCAGGGCGAAGATGTCATCTCTTGTGTTTTGGAAATGCATAACAAGGGGGTGCCATTGCAGTCTAAATAATTATTATTGAGCAGGTCTGATCTAGGATGTCGGCACCTACTTGAATTCAACACTATATGTAATGAACTGTTAGAACACTTGACTTTTTAATCCTGTATATAAAGTAGGACATTAAGGAAGCACTACACTGTTTCTTGATGCAGATATTAATTTGGATACTCCTTCTCTTTGAATGCAACGTACATTCACAGCTTCAGTGACAACTCAACATCATTGAGTCAGTTCCTGTCTCAGCTGTGTATTTTCTGCATTTCCAAGGCTTGTTTGAGGAGCCGTCAAAAGAAGAGCTCTACAACTTACTCTGCTAAGAGTCATCAATTAAATAACACAATGCTGATTTAAATGACACAGTAAGCAACTACACAAACTTGTTTCTAACCCAGTGGGATCTAGCAATAGATCTGGCCCTTCATTTCTAATTTGAATTACTTTTCACTCTTCTATTTGAAAGGGTGTCTATTTGTTTAGAACAGTAATGGTTAGATTTCTCCTCCTCCCTCACCCATCCTTAAGTGTCCTCTGGGATGCCCTGGGAGGAGAAGAAATTCCTTCAGGAATGACTACAAATGACTGAATCACAGGACTGAATCTAAATCCAGCCATTTACTGGCTGAAATGTTTATGGGAGATTAGGAAATCTCCTTCCAATGTCACATTTGTATTCCCGTATAGCTGGCAGCTGAGTGGGGTTTTTTCCACTGAGTTTCAGAAATATTTGCTCTGCCATATATGACAGTTTTCAAGCTGTTTAGCAAATTTATTATTCAGTTCACCATTTTCAATATGCCCCAAACTAAGATTTCTAGGTTTCTCAAAGGAAAAAAACTATATTTATTTGCTGGGTTAGATAAATATGGATCTGATTTTTTTCACAATCTTTCTCTGAGGAATTCCTGTTTTGAGGTCCCTTCGTACAAGGAAGATTGCAGTAGCACCTCTTTCTTCTTTAGGCTGCAAAACAGCGAAGATGGCTAAGGTGTAGGTTTTGTCTTAGACATTGATTATTGTGGAACATACAAAACTGTTACTTTGCTTTCATTGAAGAGGATAAGTTATAGATAATTAAGAATATAGCCATTGAGAGAACATGTAATTCACTGTAGAAATTTGTTGCTGATTTCTCTGTAATACCTGTGTATATCCAGGGTAATTTCACTGCCTTAGGGCTCCAGTGTAGACATGCCCTAAGTCAACCTATGTTAGGTCGACTTACAGCCACCGCAGTAATTACTACCCACCTTCTGTTGGTAGTGCACGTGCTCACCAGGAGCGCTTCCACTGTCTGAGGTGCTGAGCCCTCCATGCCGCTCCCTGCTGGGAGCACAGCTCCCTTCCGCCTCACCCCCAGCTTTTGGTGCCCCGCTACTGGCTGGGAGTGGGGGGCAGCCTTCTGAGCTCCTCACCTCCCAAAGAGAAGAAGCTCCGGGCAGCAGCCTGGCTGGGAGCAGTTACCTAGGGACAGCCGGATTTTAGATGCCTGGCTTTCTTGTCCATTTCACAGCTCCAGCACAGAGTCGTGAAATTAAGACAGCCAACAGAAGATGTAAGACGGCATCTCCTTAACTACGCCAACATAAGCCATGCACCTCTCATGGAGGTGGAATAGTTATGTTGGTTTAGTAGGGCACTTATATTGGCAGGACAAGGTTGTAGTTAGGTCAACGTAAGATGATTTGTGTAGACCATTTGTGAAGTGGGTTGTAGCCCACGAAAGCTTATGCTCTAATAAATTTGTTAGTCTCTAAGGTGCCACAAGTACTCCTGTTATTTTTGCGGATACAGACTAACACGGCTGCTACTCTGAAACTTGTGTAGACCAGGCCTTAATGGAGTTATTCTGGATTTACACTGGAATAACAAAACAAAATGTGATCCTTGATTTTGTTGTTAACATAGTACTTACAAATGTATTTACATAATACTTTTGATTTTTCTAAGTGTTGTCTCAGCTTTTAAAAAGTTGAATTTAGCTTTATGCAAAGCTCATAAAACAACATTAGTCTCAAAGTATACATTTCATTTTCTACAGAGGACTTCTGAATGCAAGCTAGTCCCCACTATATTTTAAACAGAGAACTTGCTGTTCCACATTTTCTCTATTTTTAACTGAGGTAGAATTCAATATATTCTTGGCTAAAACCGAACGATTGAAAAATATAACTTTTTTAATTTGCTATAAGGTCTAGTCTAAAACCACGCTCTGAAGGAAGTTCAGTTTTGACTTGAGATTTGGAATGCCTAACAAAATGCAAAGGGGAAGGTTAGACATTTCAGGCAAGAAACTTGTATCCCAAATCTTTTCTTAAGAAACTACACTCTATAGAGAGATTCACCTCTGTTCCTCTGAGACAGGTTACCTGTTTTCATATCAGTCTTGAACCCTTTGAATGTAAGACGTTCTGAAATAGGGAAAACGTGAATTGTTAAAACACACACAATGTTTATGCTGGTAAAATAAAAGTGCTTCAGTGGTCTGTAGTATGCATATCCTAATGAAATAAAACAATGACAAATGTTTCCTCTGTTACAGGGACCTTATTAAGAAGCTTCTAGTGGTTGACAGGACAAGGCGATTGGGAAATATGAAGGTTAGTGTTAAATATGTTTTTAAATGTACACGTGAATTTTGAGATCCACTTGTGCTTCTGTTGTGTTACTTAGTACTGAACATCTGAATTAGCATATGAAAAATATTAAGTTATGTTTTTGTGTTCTGAATGTTGGATGAATGCTGTAATTGATTTTTGTCTTAAACTTTACAAGAGTACCTCTGTTACATTTAATTGCGGTTACTGGTGTTGAATATATAATTGCACCATACTTTCAGTTTAATGTAAGCAAAAGAGAAAATATTAGTGAGAAAGAAGCGGGGGAGGTGTATGTATGTGATGAGGTGATCTACTGCAATGGGCTGCCATCTAGCACTTTGTCCAGATGCACTCCTTTCCTCTGCTTCCCTCTGAAATTCTATTTCCTTGGCCAGTTTTAATGATTTTCCCCCCCCATCCCCCACCTCCCCCCCCCGCGGAACAACCTCATCCTGCAACTGTATGTGTAAGCGTGCAAATGACTGAGTGTTAAAATATTTTCAAGCTGTTTTGTTTTAATGTTACTAAAATTTGGAAAATTACTACAACTATTACATGTTAAAAAGATGTTTTCTTTGCAGGCGAAGGTACCAAATACTAAATTGGCTTCATTTGGAAAGTGTTTTTTGTTTTGTTTTGTTTTTTCAGTTTAAATGGATTCTCCTGTAATGTTGTGGCACCCCCACAGTCAAAGGAAATGGTATCAGCATTCTTGTTACAGTGATAATTCACAAGCAGTAGATCCCAGATCCCCTACTTGTCACCATTCTGTTGTGGAATTAATGTAATACCATGTCCATAAGGAGGTAAATGTGCAGCTTTTCTGAAGAAGAGAGGTGTGTGTGTATGTTTATGTACACGTTGTACAGCATACCCTCTAAATATAGAACAACGATAGAAAATAACATCAAGGTGTGATCCTAATAATTTCATATCCTGTTTCGTGTTTAAGTGGAATAAAAATCAGATATTGAGATGTGAGCATCCTAGAAATTCCTGTAGATTTAAATGTGTACTGTCAGCTGCCCCCCTAGGTAACCAGCAACATCCAAGCATATAGATGTCCAATAAGATGTCCTTTGTTACCATTTTTCTACTATTCTAAATCTCATCATGGGTGTGGATCCCTCTTTTCAAAAGGAAAGATTCTTCTGCCCATTTTCTTCATATTGCCTCTATATAAATCCATGGTATGCCCACATTTTGAATACTGCGTGCAGATGTGGTCGTCCCGTCTCAAAAAACATATACTAGAATTGGAAAAGGTTCAGAAAAGGGCAATAAAAATATTAGGGGCATGGAACAGCTTCTATATGAGGAGAGATTAATAGGACTGGGACTTATCAACTTGGAAAAGAGATGACTAAGTGGGGATATAATAGAGGTCTCTAAAATTATGACTGATGTGGAGAAAGTAAATAAAGTGTTATTTACTCTTTCTCATAACACAAGAACTAGGGGTCACCAAATGAAATTAATAGGCAGCAGGTTTAAAACAAACAAAATAAAGTATTTATTCATACACGCACAGTCAACTTGTGGAACTCTTTGCCAGGGATATAGTGAAGGCCAAGACTACAACAGGGTTTTTTTGTTTTTTTTGTTGTTGTTTTTTTTTTAAGATTCATGGAGGATAGGTCCATCAATGGCTATTAGCCAGGATGGGTAGGGATGGTGTCCCTAGCCTCTGTTTGTCAGAAGCTGAGAATGGGCAACGAGGGATGAATCACTTGACGATTACCTGTTCTGTTCATTCCCTCTGAAGCACCTTGCATTGGCCACTATTGGAAGACAGGCTACTGGGCTAGATGTACCTCTAGTCTGACCTAGTATGGTCATTCTTATGTTTACCCTTATTCACCATGTGACATGTGTTCCCATTGATTTCAGTTTAAATATCAGTCAACATAAAGGTCAGATTCTGTCACATTACATTATATCAACTTTATAGAAAAGGGTAATATTAGTATCCACATTTTGCTTATCACTTGTATAGCACAGAGCAGACAATGTCCCAAAAAGAAATAATAAGGAATAAGTATACTGTTGTATACAAAAATCAGTCTCATTTAAAATGTTAGAGTAATTTCCCCTAACCATATGAACACATTCAGCCATATCTTCCATCTAGATTGTAATATAGAAGCTAGCAGCATATGGATCCCACCTAAATCTATTTTGTGGCTATATAGTCACAAAAAACTTTAGACTTGGCTTACAAATTAAGGTGTAATTGAGGGATTTAAACAATGGTGCAGCAGCTTTTTCTCTCCAATCATTGCCATGTCTGTGTGGTACTTGCTTATTCTGAAGCAATATTAAGTTTATAGTTAAGCATTTTACTGTAAATGTAAGAGATTGCCATAGCAATCTAGCATTTTTGTGTTTGTTTTTAAGGCATTTATAAAATGTTAATGTGGGAGAGTAACTGAAGAGAAATAAAAGTGCAACATTGAAAATGATGGATGTGAAGAAACTGGGTTAGAAATTGGAAAATTAGACATTAAAATTGTTTGGAATTCTGATTACTAGTACTGTTTAACTTTGCATTATGTTTCTTAGGCATCAGTATAAAAGGCTTTTCTAGTATGTGCCAGTCTGCATGCTACTGTAGGTGCACATGGGCCTCGGGCACAAGATGGAATTATTTTAAGTAGCAGTATCTGGGGTCGCACTTGCACCCTGTGGGATTATATGAGGGTGTGTAAAGGGTAGGGTGGTCTCAGTTCCCCTTACCTCACATGGCAGTGAGGCAGAACCTAGTGAATGTCTGATCTGCTGCCATTTAGCTTTGGCTAAACCTTCTACAGGTCTTTTAAAAACCTTCAGAACTTCAATTATCTTGACTTACAATTGCAGTCATCATCTCTGCCCATCTGGACTGAGTAGTGACCAATACCTCCCTCTCTGCACAGGGTACCTTAGAGTTGCAGACTCAAAGCCTGTGGGCCTGAATCTTTATCCATCCTGTGATGAGTAAATCCCTTTAAGATTAACACAACAGGTGTCTCTTCTACCTAGAAGTCGCATATACCAAGCAGAAATTCAGTGTGCCTATTGTTCTCTGCTTAGGAAAGTAAGTCATGATATATGAGGTGGAAGTTCTGTCTTTTGCAAAAATTCATGAAGGTCTCATCAAATCTTGATGAGACAAGGTCTAGAGTTCTGCTACTGGACAAGCCAAAATCATCCATGCCCCATCTAGCAGAAAAAAAACACTGAAGTTCAGTACCAAGAAGATGGTGGTTGTATTAATACCTAACCCAGAGGCCCTTGGTACCAAAGCCAACCCCAACATCTTTGCTATCAAAGCCATACCAACACCTCTGGTGTCGAAGTCCAGCACTAAGAGAGGCCACTCTGAACACAGTGCCAGAGATTCTGGGAGGAGCTAAGTGTCTTCCTATAAGGAAAAACTACGTAAAGTCTCTGTAGATAAATCCACCAGGCCCTTGATGATAATAAGGACTGAGAGAAGGATCAGCCTGCAGCAGAAAGGACCTTTCCAGCAGCTAGCCCAATTCTGGTGATGTGCCCCTTAACATTGACGCCTGTCATGGAAGATGAATCCAGGGGAGAACTGGGGCTGTCATCAATGCAGAACAACCTTCTGATACCACAATAGACCCCCCCCAGTACCAAGAGAGCCATATCCTTCTGCATATGAAGTCTGCTTCTTCAAACGATGCTCCCTATTGTATTCCACTGAGGGTTTACGCATGCGCACCGTGCGTCCAGAACCGGAGATCTTGAAAGTAATAGTGTCTGTTGGTCAGTGCAAGTGCCCTTGGCTCGCCTCATGGTTTCATACGAAGTGATAAAGGGCAGAGAAGACAGACTGTGGCACCAGTTCCTTCTCATCACTGCATGGTCTAGGTCGGAATTATTAGTGTCCTCTCGTGTGTGACGCACTTTTAAATATAGTTGTACTTAATTAGCTTAGAGTATTTTACTGATTTTACTGTTTATATAGTAGTTTTGTAGTTTACTAGTTTTAGGAGTAGAATTGAGTTCCTTGGGGTGGGGGGTGTCTTCCATGTAAACACGCCCCCATACTCACATGCGGATATTGGACTGTGCCAAAATCCCAAGCTCTAAATCTGCACCTCCTTCCTGCGTTCCTTCTTGGTCAGCGACAAACATCAACACTGCCTCTACTGCTTGGGAGAAGCCCACATTTCATCTAGGTGCAGTATCTGCCAGTCCTTCCCCAGCTGTATCCAAGAAGGCCAAGCTCTCTGCCTCTGGAAGTATCTCATGGAAGTTGCCATGACACTTCATTTGGACCCAGGCCAGGCAACCCTCCCTCCCGCCCCTTACATCGGCTTGCAGCAGCCAGGAGTATGCCTCCAGCTACAGAGTCCAGCACGGGCAGTACTATCACTATGGACCCTGCACCAGGACCTAGTCGAGAGGCAAGGAAACATGCACATAAGTATGGCAGTACGTTTCTTCCAAGACTTAACAAAGGAGAGGCTTCTTCCACAAGTTCCAGTCATGGGGAACCAGCATGCCCTAAAGCACACAAGCATGAAAAGAGACCACAGAAACCACGGATCTGTTGGTACTGGATACTGACCCACATGCACCATCAACACTGGCATCTGTCTGAGCTTGAGAGCCATCTGTTTTGAGGAAGACCACTGCTGAGGAGAGGGTACCTTTGGCTCCAGAGAGGTCGAGAAAAAGGCCAGAGCCCCAGGAAGTGTTTACTCTGGGAGAGTTGAGACACCTTCTGAGACCCTCTACTTCCAGGAAAACGTTATTTCCTGCACAGGGTGTGCCGCAGCTGAGGCACCCTTCGCCCCCTGCTCCAGCAGCAGCAGACACGCTTCCAATGGTACCGCTGATGGAACTGAGCTCTGAATTTTTGTCTTCGGCTAAATCTGACAAGGGACAGGAGCCATCCATCCCTTCCTGCCACAATGAGTACCAACAAAGACCTTCTATATCATCCAGTATCCTCCACTCCTGCCACCAGGGAGTCACTGGTTTCCTCA